TCCTTTAATGTGAAATTGTGTATCCTTGAAAATTTAAAATGCTTATGTGCATGGTGCATATTGGGGATTAAAATATTGAAAGGATAATCCTCGACTTATCGTAGGCATCCTCTTGATGCATTTGGACCAAAATATTTGATGTTGAGATAGTTGATTATCATGTTTTTTTTTGGAGTTTTGATAGTTGAATTTGACTTCGAGAAAAATAATATAATTTTGTTCCATTTGTTCGATTTAAATAACCTAATATTTTTGCTCGATGTTTATATGTGTATATGCAGCTAGCTCAAAGAAAATGCCTCGCAGAAGTGGTCATGCATTATAAGATCATCCCCCATGATACTGGATATTACCCATCAGAAGAAATCTGTGGACATTAACTGATACGATTAGATAGTTGTATGTACGATTTTGTACATTCTTCATTTGTGTAGAATTGATTGATGCATGTAATAGGTGCATCTTTCTTATTACATTATGTTGTAGATAATGAACTGCACTTCCTTTATAGTGATTACTCATTGTGTTAGCTATATATAGGAGTGACAAACGAGCGAGTCGAGTCGAATATGAGTCGGTTGAAAATTAGTTTAAAAAATGGATAATGTAATTGACCCGACTCATATTTTTAAATAGGTAAAAATGAGTTACCCAATGGATAATGTGGGTACCCATATTATAGTATGGATCTTATTTAAAGCTTTAAAATGAAATCGTTTTAATCTTTTTTTAATCACTCCACCCCTACCAGCCATCACCCCCCCCCCATTCCCAAAAAAAAACGTTTGTTTTTTTATATAAAAAAAAATAGTCTTTTTACCACCCCACCCCTTGTCACGACCCAAAAACGGATGTGATGACACTTGTCTATTCCCACCAAGAAAAGTGAGTCTCAACCCAATGAAAAAACAAAAAAAAAATGCGGAAAATAGTAAATCAAGAACAAGACAAAAGCAGAAAACTTATTCATTTTAAGCAATACCCCAAAACCTAGTTGTCATGTGTACAAGACTAATGAAAATACATAATTCAAAGATAAATACAAGTCTCAGTCTTTAGTTCTCAAATAGAACAAAGCTAAAAAGAAAAAGAAAAAGAGGGCCCGCCAGGATGACAAGCAAATACCTCTCAGATCCTTCAACAAGCCTTGACTATTAGGGGAAGAAGAAGATCACATGGGTCCGGGATCGGAACCTACACAAGTGTAGAAGCAAGGGGTGAGTACCAACAACACAGTACCTAGAAAGCAACCTACTAAACAAAGCAACTAGCTAGGAATCGAATACCCCTTACACTCCAACCGAACCTCCTCAAACTACAATTTGCACAGAAATCAGCCCAACCTAGAAATTCTACAATACACGACTCACAAGGCCCAATATACACAGTTCAGTCTTCACAATTCAACAGTCTACAAATCAAATAAGTCAATCACAATGCCAAGTAGTTCTATTACACGTAACAAGTACATCAATCACAATAAATAAGTAAGTCACGCATAAGCATTAAATGCATCAAGTCACAATAATCAATCTCTTGCCGGAACCATTTCCCATTGGCTTTATATCACATCACTAGCCGGAATCATTTCTCATCGGCTTTATATCACATCACTAGCTGAAACCATTTCTCATCGGCTTTATATCACATCACTAGCATGAACCATTTCCCATCAGCTTTATATCACTAGACGGAACCATTTCCCATCGGTTTTATATCAATATCTGGAACCATTTTTCATTGGCTTTATATCAAATCACTAGCAGAAACCATTTTCCATCATCTTTATAAACACTTGCCAGCAAAGACCTCGGCATCATAAATCATCACATGTCTCATCATGGTGTTCACAATCAATGCATACAAGAAATATCACACCAAACGCAAGAGAGAACAATTCATACTATTCAAATCCACAATCATGTTTTCAAATAGTATTTCATCAATCAATCAACAAGGGTCACAATAAGGAAATTCACATCATCATGTCCATCATATTCAACCCCTTTTAAATCATTTAAATATTACAAGTGGATAATATAAACCCTTCACCTCATCCCCTTTACTCCCAACATACAATCAACGAAGGAAGCATACGAATTCAACCAGAATACAAGGTTTAGGAAGACACTTGCCTTAAATCAATCAACACTCACTCCAATAATTGAGATTTTCCCTTCCGAATCACTTCCAAATACACACAATCTATGCACAAGCAAGTATTCATAATCACTTTTTCAGAAACAAGAACACCCACTACAATTCCCTTGAAAGGTGGGTTAATCAACAGAATACCCAATTCCAAAATTAAGGTTTGAATTTGAAATTTAATAGTTGAAAACATTACTCAAGGCTTTAAGAACTCATTAGGGAAAATCATTTCGAAATAGAACTGATAATCAATTCACAAACTCCATTTTAGTTAAGAACTTCGTATCTTGAAAAACCTCTTTATTCACCAATCATTACCTCATATTTTGATGTTAAAGCTCATAATTAATCAATGGAAAATGAATGTTTAGGATTAAGAACACTTACCCACTGATCTAGCATAGAAAATCCTTTCAAATTCGCCACCAAGGGTTCCCCAGTTCAAAAATGGTGAAATGGGACTTAAACCCTGAAATTTACAGCAAAAACCCTCTCAGTTATCGCACGAGCGACCAGTGATTTGCTGAAGCGAACCCTATAAAAAGTGTGTCCTTCATATAAGCGAGCTCTCTTTTGCAAAAGTGAAGGTCGCTTAAGCGACATGACATTCCCAAAAAGGAGGCCTGTTGTACCAGAAAACACAGCCAACTCTAAAAGCATTGAAAGGACCATTGAGATTCATTTGGAACCTCGTACACCAGTTATGCAAACAAATTATATTTGATATTCTGAACTCAATTGAACCATCAAAACACGAATCTGAGGTCTCCTTGACCCGACATTCGTGAAACCCACAAGAAATTAACTCATGCCTAAAAGGCTAAAATAAGCTCGAGACCTCTCAAAAATAGACCAAGTCCTCAACTAGGCATAAAATCATCCCCTGAATCAAACGGAACCCTCGAAATTCTAATCCGAGCATCCGAACCCCGAATGTTGACAAAGTCAACTCAAAGGCTAAAATTCCACAATATCACAACTTAGGACCTAAAATCTTCAAAAAGACTCAAAAAAATCTGAAACGAAAAACTCTCACAAATCAAATTTCACATTTCGAGACTGATGAAATCGACGAAATTCTATTCCGACATTCAGAACTCCAAAAGACACATAAACCATTGTCTTAGCAACTTTGCCTTCCAAACTCAAAACTTCCCAAATTCTAAACTTTTAACTCAAAGTTCAAAGCCAACTTTTTAAAACTCAATCATAGGAGACACGAGGTAAATCATGGGAGGGCAAAATTGTAATTTCCATAGAAAAACAAAAAGAACTGATGGGGTCATTACACCACTCTACTAGCCCCCCATGCCCCCTAGGGGCGTGCACTAATCGAACCGATCAATAAATCAAATAAAAAAGAAGTTATTGGGTTAACAAATTTTAATGATTTTATAAAAAAAATATTATTGGGTTATCGATTTTCAGTATTGAGTTATTGAGTAAACTGATAACTCAATAAGGCGATAGTAATTTAGTACTATACCCTTCATAAATATTAATAGTTTAACATAACTACACACTATATAAGTACTCTACACTACGGCCTATACACTTCACAGATCACAATACTTCTACTTCAAATTAGAAATTTCATATTATGTGTCACGACCCAAATTTACAAGTCGTGATTTGGGTCGTGATGGCATCTATGTTTCAACCGATAGGTAAGCCAACCCAATTAGTTAACCAATTCAACTTAAACTGTGGAAAGTTAAGTAGAAAGAAATATCTCGAATACTAAGTCTTTTATAGTGAAATGCGGAAACAAAAAATTAAAATACCACTGTTGACATCCAATTTTGGCTCTCCACATTTATTTAACTAATGTTTTTAATAATAATAATAATGATGATGATGATGATAATAATAATAATAATTATTATTATATATATATATATATATATATATATATATATATATATATATATATATATATATATATATATATATATATATATATATATATATATATATATATATATATATATATATATATATATATATATATATATATATATATATATATATATATATATATATATATATATATATATATATATATATATATATATATATATATATATATATATATATATATATATATATATATATATATATATATATATATATATATATATATATATATATATATATATATATATATATATATATATATATATATATATATATATATATATATATATATATATATATATATATATATATATATATATATATATATATATATATATATATATATATATATATATATATATATATATATATATATATATATATATATATATATATATATATATATATATATATATATATATATATATATATATATATATATATATATATATATATATATATATATATATATATATATATATATATATATATATATATATATATATATATATATATATATATATATATATATATATATATATATATATATATATATATATATATATATATATATATATATATATATATATATATATATATATATATATATATATATATATATATATATATATATATATATATATATATATATATATATATATATATATATATATATATATATATATATATATATATATATATATATATATATATATATATATATATATATATATATATATATATATATATATATATATATATATATATATATATATATATATATATATATATATATATATATATATATATATATATATATATATATATATATATATATATATATATATATATATATATATATATATATATATATATATATATATATATATTTCTACTATATAGAAATATGAAGAGTCAGGACGACCATAACATAATTTTATTGTACATTGTGCAATCAAAGTTGGACAGATGTCTATTCTTGTTATTTAGAACAAAAACAAGGATGCTTTTGTCTTTTCATATATTCGTTCTTCATTCTCTAGGATGCTTCTCGATGATTCTTCACTTTTCTTTCTTTCTCCCTTTCAGTCTCTCCAATTTTTCCAAACTAAATTAGTTCGATTAGGTTTCAAAATTCAGGAGAAAATTTTCAAATAACTCATCAACTATACTTTGAACACCCCCTTGACATTGTAGTTGCAAGTTTTAACCACAATTCGATATTTTTCTCCCCTGGATATCTCTGTTTCCGCTCCCGTATTTCTCTTTTCTTACTATCTGAAGAATGGTAAAAAGTTAATTTTATGCTAAAAGAGAAAAAGACAGATAATTCTGGAAGCATGCTCTTCCATCTTCTTCCCAGGTGGGTATCGCCATTTAGGTATTCTTTTCTTTTATTTGTAGCCCAAATCTTCTTTCAGCTCTTTACACTCTCTCTTCAATCTTTTTCAGATTGAGCATCTCAAGCTGAATGAGATATGCTTCTGTTAATTTTTGCAGAGAAATTGTTACTACCAGGGTAGAAAAAGATGTTGAGGGAGACAAATTTTTTGGCCTTTGTCGCAACATTAATTTCATTTTGTTACCCTTTCATCGGATTGGGTCTTGTGATTGGTAAAGCCTCGACTGTTCTCTTTCTCATTTTGTTTCTTGTTTTTCATCTTAAGTTCCAAAAATATATCGAAGAATCTTGTGTATTTTGATCTTAGTTCCAATCATGGAGAAAGCATTTATAGGTATTATGTAATGATATTTTGCAACTCTAAAAGTCTTAACTTATGACATTTCTTAATATATCATAGTGAGATATAAATTGATCCAGCTCTTAGAATTTGTCTTGATACTAGATCATTGAATATTGATTTATACAGCAGACCTCAACTTGTTTGAGACTGAGGCATATTTGTCATCGTATAATTTTTCCAAAACTTGCTCATGATTAATATTGGAGCGTAAATATCAACTTAGCTAATATTTCTGAAACCAAACAAGACATACACTTGGTTGGAATAAGGTCACAAAAAGTATCACACAGACTACTGATGTTTCTCTTAATTTTAAAGCTGTTCTTTTTTATGGAGTGAAGGATACACTAAAATCACCTCCACCAGAAAATCAGACCATGAAGAAGGCGTCAATAAGCGCTATAGTTATTACCACTTTATTTTATCTATGTTGTAGTTTCTTCGGATATGCAGCCGTTGGGAACGACATACCTGCAGGGAACCTCTTGACAGGTTTCTACAAGCCGTTTTGGCTTGTTGATTTTGCCAATGACTGCATAGTCCTTCATCTGTTTGGAAGGTATTAGGTAGAACAAAAATTCGAGTGTTTTCCTTCCGCCCTTTACTTAGTTAATGAAAATTTTAACTTTAACATGACAAATGCTTGTTTCCTTAGGTATATAGCCAGCCAGTATTCCCATTTGTTGAAAAAATGGGCAATTCAGAAGTACCTGAAAATAGATTTTTAAAAGTTCTACGCCATCAAACTTCCAACATTCCTAGCTCTTCAGTTGAACCTCTTTTGGTTATGTTTTCGGACTTTATATGTTATAGCTAGAACATCAATAGCATTGACATTCCCTTAATTCAATCAGGTATTTGAAATCTTGAGAGGATTGAACTTTTGGCCTATGACCATATATTTTCCAGTGGAAATGTACATTGTGCAAGGAAAAATTGGAGCTTGGACAAAAAACTGAATACATCTTGAAGGTTTCAGTCTGCTTGATTGAGCATTTCTGAAAATATTAATAGTTATTCTGAAAAGAGTCATAAGGTACATGGTGATTTCTTTTCACGTTTTGCTTTGATCAGATGTTCTCTCCAATTATTTCTTTCCATCGTTTGCTTACTACATTGTTTTCTTTAGGATTTCTCTGTTACTCCATGTATCCATCCATGTCCTGCTGGTAATTGGTAAAGTGGACTCAGTTAATTTAGAATTTGAACTTGAAGTCGATTTTTGCCTACTAGGTATTCTCAAACATTCAGCTACGCAGGAAAGGCTATCTAACCACCAGGTTTGGTTTGAATAGAGATTCAAATGTTGTCTTTTCCTAGGTTCTACTTCTAACTTTCCTTTACATGTTCTAAATTGTTGGAAATCATCAACTTGATGTTTGTGCTGCATTCCCCTACTTTTATTAGAGCGAACAAATTCCTGCTTATTTTACAAAAGTCATTCCAAGTACATGCATTACTTCTATTGATCCACCATGTTCATCCACTAACTTCTCAAAGTTGCAGAGATATTTTTAGATTATGACATTTCCTCTAAAATGTTGATTAGGAATCTGTAAAGCTTGCTTAATGTTGGATAATAGAAAAGATATGACTTTCCCTATCTTGATATAGAAGTTTACTGTAAGCAGTGATGTGAAAATATTGATAAATTTCCATGTGAATGAACAGACAAAGAAAAGATCATTAAAGTACTATCTATGTAGAAGATCTCATTTAGAATTATATGTCGGAATTCTTTCTGTTATCCTTGACATTGACAAACAAATCATGTTCTTCACATTTTCCTTATTCAATTATGTATATTCATCAGTTTTTACTTGTCAGAGTATCTTCTTCTTCATTTTTAGCCGCTACACCAAAACAAATTAAAGAAACTATGAAGTTGGGTGGCTTCATCCATGATGAAGTGAAAACCATTGACAATTGCTCTTTTTGTGTATATACATTAGTATTCTTTATCAATTCTCCTATAGCATTCACGTTTTTTTATTTACATGGCGCTTGATTCTAGATATATTACTGAAATGCTTCTTAAATTGCAGATAAGCATATTTCATATTTGGTGTCTTCCAATCCTAAGCTGTCCAAAAATCATTGTTTATGTAGGAGTACAATGTATAATTAAATATACATACTTTCTAAGGACGTTTGCTATTTGCCCATGATAGAACAAACTATATTTTGTTGCAATGCAGTTGTAACTTACAACCACCTGATCATGTGATTAATTTGGAAGTTTTGACTGATAGACTATGGTGCTCAAACTCTGTTAAAATGTCATCGGGTTTGTGTTGGATCCTTCAAAAGTAGTGTATTTTTGTTGGATCTAATAGGTGCAACAACACTTTTGAAGTACTACTGTTGAAGTTATTTAGGCTAATAGGTTTTTTTTGTTTCAGGTTTGAATGATGGATGATAAACACAAGTGATAAATCTATTGTGAAGGGTGGATTCATTTTTCTTGGGGAAAATGTAGACAAACACATTATTTGTGCTCTTTTTTTTGTGAATTTCAAAGTTAATTTTCAATTAGATGTATACAAATGGTGGTGATGGAGCTACTGGTTCTTACCTATGAAGTATGCTCATGTAGCTATGGTTGCAATGAATTTTATGGGAAGAGTTAGGCACCTGTAACGTATTTTGAAGATTGTTGCCATATTTTAAAAAGAATGCTTATGCTTCTATGTTGTTTCAGTGTGATTTTAGACATCTATTATAGCAAACAGCCAAGGAACTAATCGCTGGTGCAAAATATTAGTATTACTTTGGCTTAAAATGTTGGGCCCGTGCTTAGCACGGGAAACACTCATCTAGTATATATATATGTGTGTGTGTGTGTGTGTGTGTTATGAAATTTTTGTAGGAATACGAAAAGATTTTTAATTATTCATTTTATTTGATAAATTTATTTCTTAAATATTACTTTTATAAAAATTAAATGTATTATATAAATATTACTACTTACTTTCTCATTTTTAATTTTTACGTGAATTAAATATTGTTCTTAAGGGTTAACTCAATTTTTCTAATTAAATATAACTTTTGTTGTTACAATAAATATTTTTTGACATTTTTTCAAAATTAGGAAAACTTAATTAATTAATGAGTTACTAATTTATATTAATTTTATCTTTTGGAATGACTTATTTTTATCAAATAAGCTAGTCTTGCAAAATAATTATTTTTAATTTAATAAATAATGGCTATTTAATAAAGAAGAGGTTATAATTTAAATAGACCTAATTTGAGCAAAATTTGGCAATCCAAGTCATTCTAATTCGGCCAATCCGCACGTGCCACGTAGGAAGCACATGGATTGAGCTTCTTTAGCTTCAATCTCGGTCCTACGATTTAATCCAACGGCTTTAATTAATTCATCTTTTTTACTATTATATATGTATATATATAATTTTTTTATTTTTTATAAAACTCTTTTTATTAACCGTCTGATCAAACGATCAGACGGCCCAAATTAATTAAGACTTTTTAAACCCCACCGCCGCCCTATACTCTTCTTTTTCCCCAAGTCGTGATCTTTCATCTTCCTTGCCAGAAAAAGACGCCTCAACCCTCTCCTCCTTCCCCAGAAAGAAATCACGCCGCCCACGCTCCTTCCTCATACCCCTACGCTAGCTACTTCCTCTTTTTCCCTAGGCGCCTCAACCTGGAAAAAGAAAGAGACGTTCTTTCCCACCGTTCTCCTCCCCCATGGCCGCCCCCACGTGCTCTCCCATCGCACCTGTCAATAAACGATTCTAGACCGCCGAAAAAATGTTAATTTCCGGCGGTTCCTTGCTCCATCAATCACTCAACCCTTTCAAATTGACCTGAAAAGGTTGATTCTTGAGAGATTTCCTACCTTATTCATCATTATTTTTCTGTTCTTCCTCAGATTTGGCTTCCCTAGAATTCAAAATTTAAATTCTTGAGGCCAAGTGGAAGTTCTAAATCGACTATAAAAGGAGACCTTTGGTTCTCATCCAAGGATGATCCTATAATCCATCAACGAACGAAAAGATCTAGCGAATAGAGGGAAAGAGTGACAGAAACATAATTCAAGCATTGGATTTCAGAATTATTTTAACTTTTTTCGTCCTTCTAATTTCAGCTTTGTTTCGAGTTCGAGTTCGAGTTCTAGTTCGAGTTTGAAGTTGGAATCTTGAAGAAACGCTCTTAGTTTGCTTCTCCAAAGAAGGTAATCTCTTTTTCCTTTGTTTATAGTTACTTTAATTTCTGTTTTTTCATTTTAGTCTGTGTTGATCCCATAGTATGTTTTCTTTGAATCTGCGAGTATGTAGTTGCTATAATTTGCTGATTTAAATTTCATTCAAGTTCCCTGTTTTTGCTTGGCTCCCCTGTAATTCCAATTTCTTATTCTTTTTTAACATGTGAACATTAGTTAGGTGCAGTTACATGTTGTGGTTATGATCATAGCTTTCTAATGTCCCTTTTTTCTTGGTCTTCGTAGCTTTATCATAAGTAGTTTTGAATTGGTTTACTCGTTTTAGTATGGTTTTGCTTGTTATGAATCTATAAGATATGCGATAGTCATCAGTGTTCGATGTCTTGTTATCCACCCTTTTATACTTAGTTGGATGTTTGAATCAGTTTTTTAGTTATTCGTGTCCTCGGGATCCATATCAAGTTGTTTTATTGAAATCAATTCAAAAATGGATTTATAAATTGTCCAATTTAAGTTTTGTTACTTCTCTTTTCTCTGTGTATTACTTCTTAAAATTAGTACGAGACCATCACTGGTTTAATAGGATACTAATATTTGTTTAAGTTAGTGTTTTCATCTTGTCCCCTTATCTTATTAATTAATGCCTTAACCTCTCATCTTTTATCTTAGGTTACAACATGCTAGCTTTAAATAATTAATATAGTGGTTAGTCTTTATTTTCCTTAAGTTACAGAATGCCTTGATTAGCTTTGAGTTTATAGTGTTTTCTCTTAGTTAAATAAATTCTTTATGTAGTGTTTTCCTTAAACGTTGGCTTGTAAATACTCGTAGCAGTTTGATCCACTCTCTTTTTAGATTAAATACATTCAAATTTCCTCTTGCTCTGATTCCAAAAGTGCTTAGCTGTTTTAAGAAAAATCTCATTGTGATTGTTTATTAATTCTTATTATCTTTTTCTTTGCATGAACTCTTTCAATGAGTCTATTGGGTTCATTTCTTGAATTTCCTTGAGTTGACTCTTCTTTATTAGCTTTTGTTGATTCCAAAATCTGGAGAAAGGAAGCTAGTGTTCTAGGTCCCGGAAAGTCTGAATAGCTTATATTTACACAATAGTTCCCAATTTCCCTTGAGTGTAGCATCGCAACTCATCATAGCTTCACATGTTGACTATAAGACTAGAATTACCTCTTGATTGTTAGTATGATTAAAGCACTTTTTAAAAGTTTGGATTCGTATTCTTCTTCCTTTTTTAAGATAGTTATATCATTTTCAACTAAGTGATTAGAAGGATTTTAATCCGTAAAATCATGTTCCTAGAAATAGGATTGATGGTGCAATTTAACTTGAATTTTGTTTAACATGTGACTTCATGAATATAATTTGATATGCTTTTTGACAATTTTGGAAGCCCATTTGCTAATTTTTATCTTCTCTTTTTTTGCACATGTAAACTTGAGAGCGCGTTTGGATTTGTGATACGACTCTATCTCTGTCCAAATCAGAGAAGCGATTGATAAATTTGCATTCATCGTGTCTAGAGTGGCTTACTCATTAAAAAAAAGAGTCCAACGCTACCACTCCATATCGAAGCTTTACATTTTTATATACATATATGCGTTGTTGCTTTGACTAACATTTTACACTTGGGTATTTCACTTATATTTATGCTTGCTTTTATATTATTTGGGTTTGTACGAATCAACTAAGAACGATGGCAAGACATAGTTGCCCACCTCGCTTCTCATTAGATATTTGGTTTAGTATAGTCACTTAGCTTATAAGAATTACTTTCTAGTTATGTTTTTGTAAAGACCTTATTCCGTCGTTATGGAAAAAACAACGGGGAAATTTTTGGGCCGAAATTTTTTTAGTAGTAACTTGAGAATTCTTAGCCTAGTCCAGATTTGGATGAAATCGAAGCCAGTGAGGTCTAAGGAGATATGGTAATGAATGAGAGATCTAATTATGAATTTGATCATATAAGTAGATAGCTAATACGTTAAGGAACCCGTACGACTTTACGGAATCGAATTCGAGCGAGTAGAACGCTCGAAACTGATCTTAGCGTGAAAGGGTAGTTTGTTAGTGTCATGGGATGAAGGTGTGTTGTGAAATAGGGGTTTGAAACTCTTAAATAAGCTCATTGTTTCCGTGCAAGTCGCCAATGAGGGATTATTCCCGCTAGTGCGGGACCGCTGTAGCGGGATGAGGTTTGCTGTGGTGGGACAATCGCGATTTAAGTAGAAAATAAACCCTAAAAATGTTATTTTTTGCAAGTTTCGTTCTTGATATCTAGGAGGCGACCCTAGGTGGTTTCTTGACGGTTTTCCATAACTTTTGGTGCTAAAGGTAAGGTTTGTTCCTCCCCTAATCCGTATTTCGATCCGTTGAACGTAGTTTCTTGGGTAATTATTGTTGGGGGAAGGTTTTGATCTAGGAATTATGGTGGAAAAAGCCCTAATTAGGATATTAGGATCATGGGTTTGGTCTTGGGTTATTAAGTTGTTATAATGCGGATAATTAAACCTTTAATTGTTTATCCTTGCATATATTAATTATTTGCAGACCAAGATCAAGCAGAAAGAATCCAGAAAGGGAAGATTCAAGTGCCTTAGGGGATTCAAGCTTGGATTCGAGGTTGGTGATGGTTGTGGTTTTATGTTTGCATGATGTATGTTGGTAATTGCTTTATTGTAATGCATGTATGTATGTGGATGAAGTCTTGTTGATCACACCCAATGAAATTTAGTATGAACGAATGATTGTATGCCATGAATCAACACTTGATTTTATGATTATGAAAATGTACATTGTGAGTGTGGCTTGCTGACTGGATCGGGTGTCATGTTCCGACACACTAACTAGGATCGAATGTCACGTACCGATCGGGTGTCACATTCCGGTGCATTTATGGGACCGGGTGTCACATCTGGCACACTAACTTGGATTGGGTACCATGTACCGGTACACTAACAGTTTGGGTATGGGTTCCATGAGAGGACCATTGAATCAGGTTCCATGAGAGAACAATTGATTTGTTATATCTACTTGTTATTGAAAAT